AAAGATTACAGTTTTCTCTTTTTCCCAACCCCCCCCCCCAAAAAACCAGAAGAGAAGATATTTAATAACAAGATGTCTTAGTGTCAATACATATAATTATTTACAATACATTTCAACATAGCTATCAGACTCTAGAATAACTATGCCGGTTTATATCTGCTAAATATCTGGCTTTGACTCTATAGCTCAATACATTTTAATAACTAAGGCAATGTCTACACTACATGCTTATTTCAAAAATAACTTATGTTATTTTGAAATAATAAAGTGTGCGTCTACACAGCAAACTTGTTTTAAAATAGCAGGCTTCTTACTCTGACTTCTAGAACTCTCATTTCATGAGGAGTAAGGGAAATCAAAGGAAGAATGTTCTTCCTTCAACTTCCTGCTTTGTAGACAGTGCCAAAAGCTCAGTGAAGGTACTTTGATTTCAGCTATGCAATTGATGTAGCTGAAGATGCATATCTTAACTGGACTTTAAGGTCTGTGTACACTGTGGGCTAAGATACCAGCAAGCTTCCTTTTTAACATAAGAACTTTCTATCTGATCACTCAATGGAAACAGATTTCATTATAGTGAATGACTTCCTGAAAACATGGTGTAATTGGCATGACATGATCAAGCACCAATGGGCTTCTCAGTTAACAACCTTCTTTGACCTCATGGATACTAATAGCTAATGCTGAATTTACTAATGTCCTTTCTTATTTAGTGCCAGAGACTGTTATAATAAGATATAAAATATTACCCAGTAAAACGTGCACTTTGCATCAAAATCTAAAATGAATGACCTATTTTTATGAGCTCAATTACATGTTACAGTAAAGAAGAATGACCATAAGAAAACTCATTGCATTATGTTTTGAATGTATCTTCAGTAGGCAATTTCAGATTTTGTTTTAAATTGTACGACAGTGAAGTTATTAGAACTTTGCCTCATTCCAAGTTGTAAATCCTATCAGTCTTTCTCTAAATAGGAGATTATGCTATTACCTATTTATATATGAATAAAAACAAACAACAGAAAACCCCTACAGGTGAGCCTCAGCCACAGATGCACCTCCAAGCTTTCTTAATAATCAGGCAGTTTTGGAATCTTGGTTTTTGTTTGGCCACTGTAAATAGAGGAGGATTTGTTGGAAGAGCTCGTGGAAGAGGTGGTGGCCCCAGTCAAAACTGGAACCAGGGATATAGTAATTACTGGAATCAGGGATATGGCAACTATGGCTACAACAGCCCAGGGTACGGTGGCTATGGAGGATATGACTACACTGGTTACAACAACTACTACGGATATGGTGACTATAGCAATCAGCAGAGTGCTTATGGGAAAGTATCCCGGCGAGGTGGGCATCAAAATAGCAACAAACCTTACTAAATTATTCCATTTGCAACTTATCCCAAACAGGTGGAGAAGCAGTATTTTCTCATTTGAAGATTCATTTGAGGTGGCTCATGCTACCTGCTAATAGCAGTTCAAACTAATTTTTTTGTATCAAGTCCCTGAATTGGAAGTAAGACGTTGGGTCCCTTTGAAGTTTAATTGAGTTCTCATTAAAACAAAATTGCTTTCACTGTCTTATTTCTTAATTGCTATGCTTAAGAATCAATTTGTTTTATGCCCCTTCCTTGGTATTGTAGAGCAAGTCTTGTGTTTAAAAGCCCAGTGTGACAGTGTCATGATGTAGTAGTGTCTTACTGGTTTTTTAATAAATCTTTTTGTTAAAAAAAAATAAATAAATAGAGGAGTCAGGTGCAAAGCATGCGTATGGATCAAAGCATCTCTGCCATTCCGATATGTCTGGAGCCTGGAGCATAGTTTGGGCTAATTTTTAAATAGATCTGTCTATAAAAATTATGTCAGATTTTGCAAGATCTTATTCAGCACTAGTCTATGGTGGAAAGAGAAGGAAAAGCAGAAGCTAATTTCAAACAAACTGATGTTTTTATCTACTTTGAGTCTCAGCTGTTGTGTATAAGACTCATCCAACTGTAGTCTTGCTTATGTGGGGGTATCAGTTTTCCTTCAGCCAGCAGGATTTTCAAAACTCAGTGGGCAAAGTCAATGTATTCATTCATACGATTTTAGTGAATGTGGCCAAAAAGAGACCCCTTTTTTAGAGGATCCAGTGACCATGCCACCACACCTGTAATTCATTTAGATTGAATGCCTCAGTTACCTTGATTGCAGACTTGATCTTGTTATTCAGGACATTATCCCATTTGAAACAAATTGCCTTGGCTTTTCAATATTGAGGCTGCTGTATACCAAAAGAAAAACCAGGATAGTGCATATAATTGTTCCTGATATTAATTTATTTGGATGCACTACAGTGGCAAACAATATTCCCTCTATCTTTTTTCCATCCATGTGTGGAATATATTCTGTTATGTGCACTGAAGCATGTGCAAATGTCCACCACAATCAGAAAGATCTGCAGCCAGCTGTGAGAGCTCTTCTAATTAGATGGACAGCATTTCAATCTTTTCTGGATGGCCACCCATGTGCATAGCTTACAGGAATCACTGATGGGAAGGGTAACATTGGTTATAGCCTATGCTTTATAGACTGGATTTAAAAGAGGTATGGAAAAGTTTGTGATGTTGCTCTCAAGACAATTTTAAACTGTATTGTCATCTGATGCTCACTAACTAAGATGAAAGGATTGCTCTAATGCAGTTATGATGGATTATCAAAGCCATACAGCACCTCTCCATAAGTGATTGTATTGTTGTAAACCCTCATTTCAGGATAGACATTCTCCAGGTACCACTTAAAACTCCGGCACTGCAGACGCTGTCGTAGAGCTATTCTTTCTGAAACATCTCCGAAGTCAACTCCTGGGTTCTGCAAAGCAGGAAGACAGCACAGAAATCCTATCATATTAACTTCACAGCTGTTTTCTTTACTTGAAACCAACCCAGCATTTATTTTATTTGAAACTACGTTCCCCCATTTCTTTTGTAAGCAGCTACTTATTGTACAGCTTACTTGGACAACAGCAAGAAACAAGATCTCACTGGAAGAAGAAGAAGAAAACTGAACAAAAACCAAAGTAGAAACAAAAGTTAAAAACAGGTTATGGGCACCAAAAGTGATGCTAAATAGTTGCAATGAAACTTTAATATAATTGCCCTGGTTACAGATTTTGTTACAAGCTTAGGATCTAAATGTGACCAAAACATCTGTCTACATTAAAACCCAGAGTGTGAAATGCAGGTTGTGTAAATGTACTTGTGGTAACTCAAGTTACAGCCACACTGTGAGCTTTTCTGCAAGAGGCAATACACATGAAGTGCGTATTAGCATTTTCCTGTGCTTCATTTGCATATTCTTTTTCATTCTGTTTTTGTGCTAGGGGTCTTTGCGCAGAAACAGCATGGCTGTGGCCTTTTTGCACAAAACTACCTTTTTCTGCAAGATTCTTATGCCTGTCCCGGAGAGGCATAAGGATCTTGTGGAAAAAGGGTTTTTTGCACAAAATGGCCATTGCTACACTGCCTGTTTTTGTGCAAAAATGGAATGAAAGAGACTATGCAAATGAAGCGTGGAAAAATGCTAATCTGCACCTCATTTGCATTGCCTCTTGTGGAAAAATTCATAGTGCGGATTCTGGAGCCTGAGGTTGGAACCCAGAGTTCATCAATTCCTGCATTACACAGCCCTGAGTCCAATCACTATCCAAAATGTACATGTGACATTTTCCCACACTGTACCACAAGCTCAAACCCCTTGCTTGTGGTGCAGTGTGGTAATATGTCGCCATTCACCCAATCTCCTTGTCAAGAAGACAAAGAATGTCAGCCCATGGGATTGTGGAAAACATTTAGTGAGCTCCCAGAGCACAAGCCCAGTGGTTCTGCACCTACACTGTAAAGCAGTGGTCCCCAAC